AATCAACTATCGCATTCTTGACAGATAAATCACACTCTAAACTCCTACCAACAGTAAAGAAGAGAGCAAATGGCCAAGAATTTAGAAATCCAATGCTTTTCAAAGAGAAGCAACAGTTATGCATTTAAACAAGCCTCTGCAAAAATTGGAAGTAAAAACAGTTAAGCTGAAAACATATACTAGTTTAATAAGTATGTTACAAGTACAATTGTTATATGCTTCCGAAGGAGTATCTGCAACTTTATATATATAATATATATCTGCGAATGATCTTTGAAGTCGATTTTAGAGACAACTACTTCAGTTTTTACTTTATGTATCTCCTTTGAACGGTTCTTTGAAGTCTTTTGCTTAGGCGGCTCAGAGACTGGTGCTTTTGTGTCACGCTTCTTACACTTTTGGTCTACAAGCTGATGCTGATTCTTTGCTGGACCAGCGAGACTTTCCATAGTCTCTTCCTCAACTAATTTTGACCTCTTTGAAGTCTTTGGCTTCAGTGCCTCCGAGACTGGTGCTTAGGATAAAATCTTGCAATCCACAAGAACACATCAGCAGCTGCACAAAAGCCATTGAGAAATGAGTCAAGGATTACAAAGCAGACGACGAAGATTGTAATTCCTTCAAACTCAAAAATCAATAACATAATCTCAACCAATAGAGCCAATGTTACTGATTTAATATCAAAATGATGTAGCAAGATTTCTTCAATTACTTCAAAATGTAGCATAAGAGAAACGTAAATGTCTTAAATCTTAATCAACCAAACCTTATATACTCTCTATTCAATAAATATAATTCCTAAAATTCCACTCTTCCATACAATACCCAAATCGATTCAAGAGAATGCTAAAAAACGCAATTTGCTCCTGAAACTACAATCATGCATCAAATCATCATAAATTCCAATCACAATTAAATCGCAGATCAAGCATTCAAATCACGATTTGAAACCAGACAAAAATGTACGAGAACAAGAACCCATACGTTTTCCACCACCGAGAACCTTATGAACAGGCTTCTCTCTACCAAAGAGACAATAGATCTTCGCTTTCACAGCCGAAGGAGAATCCGGTTTCTCGCACTCGGATTCAGACGATGACGACGAATCGTGATGGTGAATCTTCTCGGCGATCTTCTCCATCAGAGATTCCTCCACCGCCACAGATTTCTCAATTTCTTCCGCCATTGAAAATTTCTCTCCGAGGTGTTGGCTTCAAATATGGTAAAGTTTCAAACTTTGTGGTATTTTTTGCCAAATTAGAGAAGAGAGAGGATTAACATTTACCTATCGCCTCTCTCATATCTTCCCAATCGATCTCCATCACCGATTTCATCATCATCACTTCCACCAATATCAACGGCGGACCAACCGCCCACGCCGGAATCGAAGCTAACAACGGCGTGAAAAACATCGCAAGGAAGAAATAAACCGCGACTGTAATCGCCGTCAGTCCCGTCCTCCATCCTTCTCGTATCCCGTCGACGATTCGATGAAAACCGTCACCGGAGACGTTCCAAGCAGCGATCCGATATGATTTTCTTCTCAATTAGAAAAATTAGGTTAGATTAAGTTTAAGGGTACTTTAGGAATATAATTTAATAGAAGTGGTATTTTTGTAAAACTTGTAAAAATGTGGCATTTTTGTAAAGTGGCATTGGAGTTGTGACATTTCTTAAAATTTCTCATTAAAATATGCATATATTGAGAGTTGAAATAAATTAAAATAACCACAATAAAAGTATATACTCAATCGACAATTCCAATATAAATTTTAAAATAATCTCTACATATAGAATATATTTGTTATTTTAAACATTCACAATGTGTGAAAAAAAAAAAATTCACAATGATCGACCACAATTTATATTGATCATTTTTATCATCAAATTGAAAATCAACCCACAGGAAAATAATTCAAACAAGGCTTTGCAATATCGAAACAAAAACTGTGGTTTTCACACAAAAAATACGTAAAATCAACGAATTAGTCAATTACAACCTACAGTTTATGCTTATTTTACAATACATTTAGCTGTTCAACCACTACAGTATTATATAGGTATATAGGGTCCGATTGGTGACTCCGTTTGAAACGAGCGGTTGAAAGTTTTTGAGCGATTGAATAGTGGGTCGTTTGAAACAAGACGGTTAGAATCAGCGGTTAGACAAGACGGTTGAATACTATAGAACAATTCAAATATAAGTTTGATTGGTAGCATTGTAGCGGTTGAATAGTAAAATTATGTAATAATTTTTTTTTAAATGATTTTTTTGTCAACCATTTTTTAAAAGGATGAATATAATGCATTGAAAAATAAGTTAAAATTGATAATAGAAATTATAAGTAAATATCACTTTGAAAATATTAAGCAACTAGCATAT